AAGTTCCTTAACAGCCACCCAGGCTTTTGGTGTTCGACTCCATGTGGGACATGCTTGACTTCTCCAAGAATCTGGTACTTCCGTTGGACTTTTTGGGCTATGCCGCCACCTACGTGACCTACCGGTGCTTAAGGGGGAGTGGGGGGGGGGAACACAGGTACCATTGTAGGGGGTATTTCTGGAGATTATATAGGGATTATTGTAGGGATCCACTCCCCCACCGTCCCTGAAGCACCAAACCCTAAACCCTAAACCCTAAACCCTAAACCCCAATCCGCTCCCCCACCATCCCTGAAGCACCAGTAAGGTGAACGTTGCACGGATCTTCAGCGTGTGTCGGGCGCTGGAGCGCGTCCCCGCCCAGGAAAGCAGCACCAGGGCAAGAAGCCAGAAGGACTTGAGAGGGTTTAGGGTTTAGGGGTTTAGGGTTTAGGGTTTAGGATCCCCTCCCCTAATGAAAGATACCCCCCAATGTAGTACCATTATCTATGAAAGATACCACCTAATATAGTACCATTCTCTAATCTAGTGAGTTTCTATGATTAGGGGAAGGAGGTACTGGTGGTTAGGGACGGAGTGAAGGAGTAGGATCTAGGGATGAGTATACGGATGCCTGTTCCTCCATTCCTCACTAACTCGGATGATCTCTCAATTTGACTGGATCAATCTTAGAGATCCTTAACTTGGGGTATGAGATTCTTTACATTTATGTAAAAAGGACCATTTTTTTTCTTCCTAGGGCATTGTGGGCTAAGTAAATAAGTCTACCTACAAGTTAATAACCCCCCTCATAATCCCTCTGACTAAGTAGACTCACTACTCCTAAGCCCCCTAAACCTCTCAACCCCTAAACCCCTAAAAGCCTAAACCCTTTAACCCCTAAATACTAAGTCAAGAGAGCGCCCAAGAACTTAAGCTCCTTAAATCCCTATATTCCCCTAGCTTCCATTTCATTTTCCATTTTCTTTTCCATTTGATTCTCCATTATAGGGGGAATAATATACCCTAAACCCTAAACCCTAAACCCTAAACCCTAGAGGATCAAGCGGTCCAGAAGGCCATGTGGCGCCGAGTGGCGCCCCTCTACGTCCTCTCGCTGCTGTTTGCAGTATCTGGGTTGCTGATATTGGGGTTTAGGGTGTTTAAGTTACTATAGTGGGTATAGTATAGGGTTTAGGGTTCAGGCTTCGGCTTAATTAAGTTACTATATTGGGGTTTAGGGTTTAGGGTTACTATATTGTCCCCCTATAATGGAGAATCACATGGTAAAGAACATGGAAAATGGCATAGAAACAGGGGTTTACGTTTTAGGGTTGCTGTTAAGGAACTTAAACTAAGTCACCATACTGGGTATATGTATAGTGATTAATATGGTTTTCCCACTATAGTAAGTTAAACTAAGTTCCTTAACAGCAGCCCAGGTATCTGCAGTGGTCCTGAGCGCTCCGCATGCATATCCAAATTGGATGCCTAGTGGCACCGAAGATATTGGCTGCTTTCCATGCCAATGTTCGGGCTCCCGGAACCGTTTGGACAGCTGCTATGGCCTTGAAGACGTGCGAGTGTTGAGGCTCAGGTGGATGGTTGTCAAAAGTATGGTCCCTTTTTGGATCCCAATTATAGCACGGCACCTAATATTTAGGGTACCCAAAAAAGGACCATAATTTTGACAACCACCCAGGTACAGGCAAATCTGCGAGGTTGCCCCAGGAGCACTTGCAGAGCTGCGTGGCACAGAGCTGAATCTTCTAGGGCTTTCCCACAACTGCTTGGCTTCTCTTCCAGTGGGTCTGTTGCATGGGCTGGATGGGCTCAAGGACGGGTGTGGCTTGCCTTTGGCATACCACTGACTTTCCCCAGCTCCTGATGAGGGGTTTAGGGTCTTCAGCCCTAAGCCCTAAACCCTGAACTCCAAGAGGAGTTGGACTTCAGCAACAACAACTTCAGCACGCTGGACGTTGGGGTCTTTGAGGGCCTTGCGAAGCTAGAATCTTTGACGCTCCTAAGCAACCCCATCCGTGGCTAGGTGGCATTTTGAGATGTTGTGATTTCATGGTTCATACGCGCACTTGTTCAGAACTGACATGTGGGGGCTTTAAATTACAGTAAGCCCTGAACCTTAAACCCCAAATCCCAAATCCTAAACCCCCAAAATCCTAAACCCCAAATCTCAAACCCTGATTCCTGAATCCTAGGCCGCAAATCCTAAATCTCAAAATCCTAAACCCTAAATCCCAAACCCTAAACTCTGAAACCTTGAAATCCCAAACCCTAAAACCCTAAAACCCTAAACTCAGGCGAGCTTCCTCCCGGTCTTTTGAATGGACTTTCGAACTTGCAGCTGTTGCAGGGATATTCCTGAGAACAATGTCTCTGTATTCCGGACCATCATCCCCAAACCTGAAACCCTGAATTCTAAACCCCAAAACCCTAAACCTAAACCCTGAAGAGGATAATGCTTACAGGGCCCTTAAATCCATAGTCCCCCTCAAGTAGATGGAATACGGGTTTGGATATACTATAGTTAGATCCCCATATCACATACCCCATATTCTGCCTACTTAAGGGGGACTCTACCCAAACCTTAAACCCTAAACCCTAAATAGCAGTTTCCATTTTCTTTTCCATTATCCCAATAGAACCCCAATATAACCCCTATATCTACTTCAGGGGGACTAAATCCCAGGTTGGATTTGGGCTCGACCTTGCTAACGACCCTGCCTGCAGGGCTTTTTACTGGGTTTCTTGGAGGATCTTTGGACTTCGTAAGGGCTTTAGGGCTTCACGGCTTAGGGTCTAGAGCATAAGTTTTGGGGCTTAGGGCTGTCTTGGATGGTCTTTTGACTTAGTAAGTCTACTTCCTATCCCTCATTATCGCCGTTATAAGCCCCATAACCCTTCTTACCACGTACACTTGCTAAGTCAAGAGAGCTTCCAACTATTCGGTGGGGCTTTCTACACATTTTCCCTTTAGCACTTCTGGATTTCTTCCTTTTATAGCTGGATTTAGGTTCCTCCTCCTCATATTCAAGGAGCCAAAATAGTAGATTCTTGCTGGGGGTGTTAAACAGCGAGCAAGGCTGGACAACCTAGTTGTGTTGGACCTGCGCCGGTCACAGCTGAGCACGCTGCCTGCTGGGGTCTTTGCCGGGCTGTCCTCGCTTAGAAGTGTGAGCCTTCTGAAGAACTTCCTGCAGACTCTGCCCGAGGGTATCTTCCAGGAGTTAGGGTTTAGGGGTTTAGGGGCTTAGGGTTTAGGGTCCGTAGGGTCCCTCCAATCTCCCCCCATCCTGTGGCAACCTAATTATGCTTAGTTCGAGATATTCGGCAAAGTAAGGAGCTTAGCTAAGGGGGGAGCATCTTGGGGGAGGTAGTATTGGGGGGGGGGGGGCAGTAGGGGAACCCATGAAGGAGCTTCCGTCCTTGGTGGGCTTGAACTTGATGGACAATCGCTTGAGTGAGCTTCCTGCCAGGCTGTTCGATAGGCTCCCCGCCCTGAAGAATCTTGCTGATTGTTAGTGGCCACACGGTTTAGGGTTTAGGGTTTAGGGGAATGAAGGGCGGGAAAGAATATGGACACTGTACATATCCTGTGGCCATGCGGGAGTAAACTGATTAAGCAGAGGCCAGGACAGGGATCCGTTCCTGACTTTCCTACTAACAACTACCCAGGAATTTACATCTCAATTCCAACAAGCTAGCGTCACTTCCTGATGTTCTCTTTGCTGGATTGATATCTCTGCGGACGTTGGACTTGTCCTCGAACCGGATCCTCGCGCTTCCCGTGGGGCTCTTTGATGATTTGCCGGCGCTCCACACGTTGGATTTGTCATCCAACCAGATAAGCATCCAGATGGCAATTTTTGAGATATTGATGTGCTTCACTCATTTTAGTAGTGTAAAGGGACCTATTCACAAATCGTTTTGGGAGCTTCTGAATTGCAACCTAATCCCTAAGCCGCCTAAGCCGTGAGCCCTCAACCCGAAGCCCTAATCAGTCAACTCTGAGCCCTAAACCCTAAACTCAGAGCTCTAAACCCTATAGTCCCCCTTCAGTAGATAGAAAAAGGGATATATGGGGATCTTATTATAATATACCCAAAGCCAGAGTCTATCTACTTGAGGGGGACCAAAACTCAGTCAACCCTTAACAGCTACAGCTCGATTCCTCAGGACCTGGCAACTCTGAGCCTCTTAACCCCTAGGGTTTAGGCTTTAGGGTTTAGGGTTTAGGGCCCCTAAACCTTAAGGCCTGAACCACAAACAAGCCCTAAACTTTAAACCCAAAATAGTAGTTTCCATTCTCTTTTCAATTATATCGCCTATATAACCCTTATACTACCCCATTATATATAAACATTGGTGGTTGTCAAAATTATGGTCCCTTTTTGGACCCCTACTACAATACGGCACCAATAGTTAGGGTACCCAAAAAGGGACCATAATTTTGACAACCGCCCATATATATCCCTAAACCCTAAACCCTAAACCCTACGCCCTAAATGAATAAATAAAAAATAAACAAATAAATAAATATATATATATACGCATGTATATATACATACATATATATCAAGGTATGCTTCCCTTGGGGCTTTTTGACAGTCTTGCTGGTCTCCGGACACTGAACTTGACTTCGAATCGACTGGCAGTGCTGCCCGCAGGGCTCTTCGATGCTTGCCTATGCTCAGTAGCTTTGGGTGTTCGGTTTTAGCATTCTGGCGGTTTTGTTGTTGTTTTGTTTTGATTTCAGGGTTTCAGGGTGTAGGGTTTCAGTGTTCATGGGGCGTCCGCCTCAGTCTCCATAACAATGTCTATCAGTGTCCCTATATCTCCAATTCCCAGCGAAGGATGGGCTAGTTGGGCTCCAAGTACTGGATTTGCGCAACAACCCGCTCAGCACACTGCCAGCAGATCTCTTTGCTGGTTTGCACTCGCTGCGACACGTGTCTAGCTGGCAATTCAGGATGATGCTCGATTTCACCTGTTGTTCTTGCGGAGGCTGGTTTGCAAAGTATTTGTTTGGGCCTTCGAAGTACCTCCCAGGTGTGTTTGAACAGCAATTCTTCGTGCATGGACTGGCGTCTTAGCTGGGATGGCTGATGATGGGAACCGGTGGCAAAACACGAAAGTAGGCAGAGCAACAGTCTCTATGGTTCATGGGACTTAGTTACTACAGGGTAGTTTCCCTAAATGGGGGGGGATATGGACCCCCATATACTATAGTCCTTATTATTGGGACCCCCAGAATGGCACCTCTTATTTTGGGAACCCCCCCACAGATGACACCCTAAAGCCTAAGCCAAAAACCCTAAAATTGGATAAGCCGTACTTCTAATCCCGACCACTTGATCTGAAACCCTAAACTCCCGAACAGACTCTAGGATTCAGGGTTTAGGGTTCAGGGTTTAGGGTTGCTGTTAAGACTTAAATTAAGTCACTATGATAGGGAAGCCATATTGCTTACTATATACTCATCTTATGAGAACTTCAAATAAGCTAAGGTCGCAATCCCTAGTATCCCCCTTTATCCCCCATAGTAGTCCCCTAGATACGTAATCCCATATTCACTTTATGGGAACTTCAAATAAGTTCCTTAAATCAGCAGCCCTTGACCATCCTATTGGCTCACTAACCTCCCATCCACAAGATTCCGCCTGCATTGGGCTTGTTTGGGAAAAAAGGGGTTTCTGGTTTCGGGTTTAGGCTATTAGGGTTCAGGATATGAGGGTTTAGGGTATTAGGGTTTAGGGAATAAGGGTTTAGGGTGTAAGGGTGTAGGGTTTAGGGTTTAGGGCTAATCAAGGCTAAGTAGGGTGGGAACCTAGGGGGGGCGGGTGGAGTTGAAAACCCAAGAGCATTTCGCCAGTTGACGCTCACTGCAGATTTAGGGTTTTGCGCTTCAGGATTTCGGGGTAAGCTGTGGTGGTTGGCAGTGCAAGATGGCTCTAAACCTTCAATCCCAGACCGTAAACCTGAAACCCCAAACTCCACCAAGGCCATGAAAGGCTTAGAAGAGACCATCAACTTGGCGGCCCCTTCCTGACTTTCCTGGTTCCCTTTATCTGCTCCCGAAACATCCGTATGCATCCCCCCTAGACAACACAAACCGCAGAGGATTTCACCCCCCCCAAGTTAAAACGTCTTTAGTAAGCGCATTGAACAATACAACCCCAAATCCTAGATATCCCCATGCGCTGCCTTCATTGTATGTCTTTACACATCCCTGTATATCCTGGTGACTTTTTAAAAGGGACCCAGTTCTCAGCGCTGACTATGATAACAGAAATAAAAATAGTCATGGCAATAAATAAAAATAGTAGTAGTAATAGTACTAGCGATCAAATATCAAGTATAGCACTCCCCTTAGGGTTTCTCGTTTAGGATGTAGCGTGTATATAGAGTCTAGGGTTGAAGGCTTAGGAACCAGAAAAAGGCCCTACCAGGACTCCTCTGCTGTTTAGTTTATGAAGTTCCATACTAGTTTAGCGGTGGATAGTTTCCCCGCCTCCCATGGATCGAGAGGAGTAGCTCCATCTTAAAAAGACAGCGTGGAGGTTTCCAAACATTAAGAGTATATGGGGTTTCCCAAAGTTAGGGGCACTTATTTTGAGGGTCTCTATAATAATAATAAGGACTGTAACATTTTAGGGTCTATATTGGGGTCCCCGTATTTAGGGAAACTGCGATATCTTTTCCGGAGTCCTAGTTTATCACCTCCTCCTGATAATAAATCGTCACACCCCCGAACCACAAAGATTCCCCCTAATGTACAATGATTGGGTTTAGGGTTTAGGGTACTCTACTGGAGGGTGGGTGGGAGGGTTTATGATTATGGCAGGGGATTATCAGGATGAGCCTGTTCAATATAAGCACTGCCAGGGAGGAACAAGGACAAAAGCAACTCAGGTAGGTAAATCCTAAACCCTAAGCCCTAGACCCTATTATCATAGGTTTGGGTGAGTTTATCTAGGGCTCCTGAAGAAGGTTGGTCAGTGTATGTGCGGGGTGTCCATTTTAAATTAAGATCCTACCATACTTAACTGGGTGTTAAGGAACTTAGATCAAGTTATCATAATTTGGGCATCTAGTAGATAAACGGGTCCCCTGATTATAGCAACTTAGTTTAAGTTACCACAATATGGGTTTAAATTGAATATTTAAGATACCATAATATGGTTAATATGAAGGTTGCCTCATTGTAGTAACTGTCAAGTATTGAATGTGCAAAAGGGAGGTGCCCTCTTGGTGGCTTCTTTCATGAGAGATGTACGGCATGGTGAATACCTTTGGGGTTCAGGGTTTTGGGGCGAAGGGTTTAGGGTTTAGGATGTGGAAACTTGCTTCCAACCCCAGATATGTGGGAAATTCCAGCAAAGATGATGTGGGTGTAATCTTGAAGGAGGGTCCCTTAATCATAGCAAACTTTCCCGCCTGCATGATATAGGGTTTAGGGTTTAGGATGTCTTGTTTCTTCATGACGCCTTGATTTTCTGGAACTTGCACCAAATCAAAAAGAACCAGACATCGCGGCCCTTGAATGTGCTTGCGGCCATTGCTGTTCAGGGTGTAGAGTGCATTGAATATAGTGTTGGTAGTGGAGGTTTTCAGGTTCTGGCAGATTGGTTTTAAATTTCGGGTCTAGGTAGAGTTCAGGCTTTGTCGTTTAGGGTTTGGAAGGAGCTTGGGCATTCAGACCACTACGCGTGTCGATCTACATGAGTTTCTAGATCAACATGGTGTCAGTCTTTGCTTTTGGCGCTGAATACGGGGATCTGACACGCAAGTCTGTCACTGGTCCAGCCGTGCCCAGTCATGCTCCAGAAGGGGTCCGCAACGCAGAGTGCCGCAGAACCGTGATGTGCAATAGCGATGGTTCTGGTTTCCCTTGGTGAGCATTGCTGTTGGTCATATGTCGCGCACAAGGCAAGCTTTACTACCCCTTCATCAGTACTGACCAAAAGTTCATGAGTAGAGACATGCAAAGAAAGCCGTAGACCTGAAGTCAAAGTGAGCTGTGTTGTCAAAAGGTAGGCCACTTCTAAGCTTGCTTGGCATCCAATGCATTTTCGACTTGAAGGAAATAATGTAAAAAACTATGACAACCACCCATATATTAGTAACTATATATTAGTAGCTTCCATTTTATTTTCCATTATCCCCATATAACCCCAATATTATTATACTCCTACATAATCCCTATAATCCCTGTAGTTTCCATTTCATTTTCCATTATCCCCATGTAACCCCAACATACCATAATAGTTTCCATTTTATTTTCCATTATCCCAATATAAGGCCTATATGATCCCTATATAATCTCTATATAATCCCTATAATTCCTTATAACCTACTGATCTTAGGGAATATCCCAATATAAACCCTATATGATCCCTATATAATCTCTATATAATCCCTATAACTCCTTATAAAGATTACTGAGCTTAGGGAAGGTATAGGTTCAGCCATGTCCGTAACTGGAAAGATGGAGTGCCTCGGTTGCAAGGTGACATCAAGGTTCGCCTGCTTAGGGTTTAGGGTTTAGGGTTTAGGGTGCTTCAGAGTTTCTGAAGTAGGGGTCTCTAGGATTCAGTGTGGGAATTCTGCAACATCATGGAGCTAGGGGGGATTCTGAAGATGGTTAGAGATGACCAATTTATCACAAAATGCTACGTCCCACTGGGGCTTACGGGTGCCTGCGGAGAGAGGTGAATCAGTTTAGAGCCAAGAACCTACATATTAGGTGCAGTCCCTGACCGTGTAGACTTTTTGTTTACTCGCATTAACAATCACAGGGATCATTCATCTAGACCCCAAACACACTAAACCTTAACCATCATGAGTGCCTTGCGGAGGTCTTCTTTGAGGCCATGCCTAATTAGGCTCAGATCTTGACCTGATGTAGCGGCTACTAGCATTCAATGACATGAACAACCCAAAAGACAATGGAACCGATATTATTCTTGTTATGATGTTTGTTAAGTTTTGTTACTGGACACACAATGGACAGACAAAGTATGGGGAGGGCAGGCGGTGTATGTCTTTAGAAAGTGAGACGGTTTGATAGCGAGCCTTGCATCGTTTGTGGGGTTCGCTGCAAATTTACTCTCCTGCAACCTGGCATGGAAACTCACAAATTGACGCCTTTGCCAAGGACAGTTTTTTGTCTTTGACTAACAAGAAGCCTTCATGTAGAACCTCTACAAAGTCAATCATCCTGGTACGGCCTTTCCATGATTCCAGGGTCCTAAACCCTAAGGCTTAAACCCTAAAGCGTAACCCCAAAGCGTAACCCTAAAGCGTAAACCTTAAACCTCAAACCCTAAAACCGTACAACCCTAAACCCCTAAACCCGAAAACCCCAACCCCTAAACCCTAAACCCTAAACCCCTAAACCGCCCGTATCGCCCCAGTTCCCTCAGCCCGAGTTCCCTCCACGCTGAGTCAAAGTAGGCCCTGGGATGATCCGCACATGGAGTTTCTCAAAAAAAGGGGATCTGTTAAGGAATGAAGGGTTTAGGGTTTAGGGCTTTAGGGTTTTAGGGTTTAGGGTTTAGGGTTTAGGGTTTAGGGTCTAGGGGTTTAGGTTTTAGGGCTCGGCGTTTTAGGGTTTAGGGTTTAGGGTCCAGGGGAAGGAATGGATCCTTACACTGGTCCTTATAGAATCCCCAGAAATACAGTAGCTTTCTTTTTTCCATCCTTCATTCCCTACTAACCAGGGGAAGCCTGTACAACCCCTAGAGATACATCGCTTTCCATTTTATTTTCGATTTCCCTTTCCATCTGATTCTCTACTACCGGGGTGATGCCCCTTTACCCGGTACAATCGACCCCCACATAAACCTTTCTAACCCCATGTATTTCATTTTAGTCCCTATATAACATGCCTAATAAAAACCCCCAAAAAGGCTGGCATGTAGTTCGGGTTTAGGGGACTGGGACAGGGTCCCGATTGAGCACTTTATGGCCATGGGTTCCCCAACTTCCACCTTGTACTACCCCTTCTCATCGCTAATCAATAGTAGATACAGTGGAAAATGAAACGAGCTTCAAATGTTTCTGTTGCTGGTGCAGAATATGCGGCATGTCCCACACTACATCAT